TTTGTCATAATAGTATTTGTTATGCTTGATATCGAATGCAGATCAGTTCACAATGAAATGACGGAGATATGTGTCCCATTAAGCTCTGGTAAGAGGCGACTAACAGAAATTCTCTTGGAATATTGCTGAGTGCGGCGTAAAACTAAACTCACTCACTCACTCACAATGAAATGACGGAGATATGTGTCCCATTAAGCTCTGGCCAACAGAAATTCTCTTAAAGGCGGTGTTTCCGTGTCACTGAATACAGATGACACGAGAAGACCGCTGTTGCATTTGGTCCTCAGCAATCTATGTTTGTTGTAAGAGGTGATTAACGGGATCGAATGGTCCTGATCGCTGAATTTGTTGATGCCTGTAGTCGTATCGCTGATGTCATCATATCAGTCAGTTCATTACTGGATTGTCTGGTCCAGATTCGATTATTTACAGACCGCCGCCATGGAATATTTCTGAGCGCGGCGTAAAACTAAACTCACTCGCTCACTCACATCAATCATTGGATTGTCAAACTGAGGACTACATTATTTACAGACCGCCGTCATGTAGCTGTACGATTGCTGAGTGCTATGTTAGACTAACAAACAAACAATAATGTACACAGGTAATTTGGAATAACTGTGACATTAGATGTATTTTGGTAAATACTATTAGTCAATGAATTCCTTTTGCATCACAGATTCTAGAACATCGACACACAGAGGTACCCATCATAAACCACCTACAGTTACCGGGTTGTTGCCTTCAGCCAGGTTGTAGTTCACATTCTTACACCGTTATGAAGCAGGATACCACAGTTATCCACTTTGGTAATAGTGTAAGAATGTACATTGAAACGTCTGTTAACGCAATAAACCTAACGTACATCCATAAAGCTGTACACTTCGTGTAGAGAGAGGGCAGGGAGTGAAAAGCGTGATGGAAGTTTACGCTTTGTGCAAATTGACATTTACTCAACTTTGAATTAAACACTAGACGCAGCAAAATAGAAATTTAAGTTTATGATTTGGCAGTCATTTTTGTTGTGAAAGGTGTGTGGATCCATACATGTTCAGTTAAACAAAGGGTTGTTTTGGAGCGAGAAGGCACGACGCTTCCAAGATACCCTTGTCATATCCTAAGGCGTTTCGGGTTTTTTTATGAAACAGTTATCACCAAGTTGTTATGTCATCAGGAAAGTAGGTCGCGTTATCAAACCAGGTGATTTTTACTGCTGTTATATACAAACATGTGTGGCGTTAATGTCAGCGAGACTTAGTGGGTCTGGGTGCACTGAGGTCAGGTATCCTACAGTCAAACCAATACACAGTGTAAGGCAGGTCACTACAAGCTACAGTCCTACCAACACACCATGTATAGAACGTGTCCTTACCATTACCCTAGTGAGTGAGTATAGGTTTACGCCGCTTTTGGCAATATTCCTAGCAATATCACGGCGGGGGACACCAGAAATGGGCTTCACACATTGTACCCATGTGGGGAATCGAACCCGGGTCTTTGGCGTGACGAGCGAACGCTTTAACAACTAGGCTACCCCCACCGCCCCTTGTCCTTAGTACCTGGCAGTACTGTTGTGTGACCCCCGCGATTAACTGCTCTGCCTTTGCGGTGTTTACATTGATAGGTTTCTCTGTTTTTGTTGGGGTGAGTGAGTGGACACTATGTTTATAACCCATTTAAATAGTTGCGAGACTGTCAAGGTCATACCCAGAGGGGTCATGGTGTTTGTTTTGACGCCACACGCACAGAGACGTATTTCAGCGGTCTGTAAATAAAAGATCCTAGACCAGACAACACAATTATTGACATCATATGAACATTTAACAGCACAATTTGGACACAATAACATGCTTCAATCAAGTCAGCAAATCTGAACATCCGAAACAATTGATACTTCACCTGGGAATTTATGTTGTCTGGCTTAATATCTCTTTCGATTATTCGATGTTTGATGCTTTTGTTATCATCGACGAGAGTAAGTTTCATTGAATTACTGTTTGCTTTGGAAAAAATGACAACTAAACAGGGCGTGATGGTCTTTTCGTAGGTTTTCCTTTAGGAAGCATGCCCCGTTCAGTAGTAATTTCTTTATGAAACGCAAAAGTGGTTTTCGGATGACTACTTCATTTATTATAAATATACAGCGAACCATAATGCACTGTTCAAATTTGGTACGTCATTGTGTGTAACCGGGGTTCATCGTGGGAGAAACAAGACAATCGAATTTCAAGGTGAAGGTCATCTGTTCTCAATATCTTATATGATCCCATGGGAGTCCAGAACTGCCTGGCATCGTGGCCCCATTAAAAAATCAGAATACGAATTGTGGAGTGCCTGTGCCAACTGTTGGAGAGTCTGTGGCGCTGCTGACGTGATCACAGACGTTCATCAAGAGCATCCCACAAATGTTGGTTGGGGTTTATATCTGGAGCCTTGGGGATCATGGCGCTACTTGGATGTTGTAGGTCCTCAGAAAGTCCGTTGTCGTGTGAGGCCGGGCGTTGTGTTGTAAAATGACGTTTGCCTGTTGTATAATGGGAAGGACATGTGCCCGAAAGGTTTCATCTGTGTAACGTTGTGCAGTCAAATTGACCTGGACCTGTACCAAGTTTGTTCTACCGGTATGGGAGCTGGTAGCCCACATCATTACACCCCCGCCGTGAAACCTATCCGCTTCCTATATGCAGTTTTCGAGCATAATGTTCCCCATGACGTCTGTAAACACGACGCCATTCGTCTGTCCGGAGAACAAAGTGCGCGACTCGTCAATAACCCAAACAAGTCATCGCTGTTATGACCAATACGACGAAGCTCAGTCAGAATGACGCCTCTTGACACCACTGACGTTTCTTAGTCGACGAAGCTGATCTGTAGTCAGAATGACGCCTCGAAAAACATACATACGTCTCATACGAATACCTGCGGCATACATACATACATAGACATACATACATACATACATACATATACATACACATACATACGTACACACACACACACATACACACACACTTATTACATCATACAGGCTAAATTCGTACATACAATCTTGGTATTGCTGTACATACTACAGATTTGACAGACATACATGTTGAGTTTATATCACGTAAGTACATACATACATACATACATACATACATACATACATACATACATACATACATACATACATACATACATACATACATACATACATACATACATACATACATACATACATACATACATACATACATACACACACATTCATACACACATACATATATACATACATACACAACATACATACACCACACATTACACACTACATACATACATACACCACATACATACATACATATATACATACATACATACATACATACATACATACATACATACATACATACATACATACATACATACATACATACATACATACATACATACATACATACATACATACATACATGAACGTTTGACTTCTAAATAACCTTCTCTACCACCACATCACTTTCAACATATTCCATTTCATCAGATACGTTCTTGCTATTCAAAATAATGCTGGAGGGGAAACGGGAACTATGAACGGTAATTTGGAAAGTTGTTGACTATATATTTTACACTTGGTATTACTTGGCAAGTACCATGTGTATGTAAGAGTTGCCGTAGTTGAAATAAGGTGAAAAAGGGATACATACATAGGTGTATGCATACATATAGATATGCACATACGTATGAACATTCCACTATGCGGAATATATGTATTTATTACCATACATAACAGTACTTATACAACACCGTACCTAAGCATTTGAATCAAAGTTCTCAGCGATACACTCACCTCTGCGCTTCAGTCCATCGGCACACACACACCCTCCAGACACACCCACACGCAAAACCTAATCGGTACCCCCACCCACTTCCGATTAAAAATACTGATATATGGAAATCTGAATGGCATATGTATTGGTCATGGTGTTTTTGCACGTTACAAAAGTGACCTGATTTTAACTTTAATCATTAGTTTCTTTGACAGAAAGGAGCTAACCTTCTCATAATATTTTGTCACTCAATGATGACGTCATTTTGATGTTGATGTTAGCTGGAAAGACGTCTACGTTCGAGTTTTTCACCCTTCATTGAATTAACAACAGTGCAACATAGTAGAGTAAACATTGGATAACATTTATCATTGCTAATCCGGACAGATGAAGTGTTTACGAGATAAAATAGCGACAGTGCCGCAGGGCGTCCAAATGTTTACTGCATTCACAGTTAAACCCAGTGGGTTAAATTGATATGCAAATGAAAGCACACAACCACAAAAATTGAGAGAGGAATTTTGCTTTTGCAAAAGATATTCCTTCTTGAGCAGAAAATAAAACATAAAGTGGGTTTTTGTTTGTTTTGATAAATGTCTAATATGTGTGAATATGCGATGCTACATATAAACATTTTGATTTCAGAAGATTTGAGCTATTTTCATTCTGGTGACGTGGAGAGGTCATTGCTCGCCATACAATAAACACTGAAGATAAATACAATATTTATTTACCTTTCAGAAATATACTTTCTGCCCTCACGTGTGCCTCTCGTGTCTAAAAATATCTTCTAGAATGCTATCTTCAAACGCTATGCTTGCATTTTCATATAAACATTAAAATATAGCCAAGTTTCGGTTATATTATGTGAACTTAAGTATCAGCCCAATGCAAATATACAAATGTCGCAGGTAAATAGTTACTTATACATTAAAACAAAGGGATCATCCCGACAGAGAAAAAATAAAAAATGTATTCTTGTGCAAGGAGACTGCATCTAATGCTGAGCTATGATCGAAGCAAGATTGTTCCGATCAATGACTACCCTGAGAGAAACAGTGTATACACACTGCGCGGTGATACAAGCATGAGTTGACGGCAAGGAATGTCCACAGCTACTGTCACAGAAGGGCGGAGTCAGCGGTAGACTGTTGTACAAAGACCCACCTCCACAACGTCATATACCGCATATGGAGCCCACTCCTTTCATCGATGTCGTCCCAATCCCACGTGATCTGACAAATGCATTGATGAGTCGTTGTGTGACACACTCAGGCTCCGTCGAAACGTCACAATTGTTTCCGCCTTCGCGTCAAACTATTACGCGTAAGATTCATATCAGCATTAGCACAGCCCCCTCACACCCTCCACGAGCCGCCGCACTTAGATGCACCGTAGGTTGTGAATGAACCTGTGTGGCCGTCTGTCCGACAACGAGTTATTGCAACCGGCGTAACCCTCTCCTCTCAACGGTGGGGCGTCAATTATTGCCGTGACCCGATGTGTTGCTTGTGTCACTGTCACTCTTATAAGAGGAGTGTGAGCCTGGTGAAGCACAGTGATGAAAGCCCACTGTGCTTAGACTCATCTTCAGAAACTGTTGTAGTTTTACCTCAGGGCTCTACATTCAAGCTGTAGTCCCTAACCCTAGATACTTACACAACCACCGACAACTGGTCAACACTACTTCACCATGTGCTCTTTACTTGATCTTGCGGTAATTCTAAGCATGGCGATTATTGTCGCCTCGGAAGGATCTTCAACTGTGAGTAATTTACATTTTCACTCTAAAATGTAAAACCGATTTTGGGGGGCAAATAATATCTATCACACGAAGTATTGATGTGCATTTCAACTGTTTGCTAAGTGGGTGTCTGAAATGTGTATTAAGCGTTACGTCACTGGCGTCTCATCTGTGTCAATATGATTCTGTAATGAGTATGTTGTGTTTCTATTTAACAAAATTCCTTCAAACAGTTTTCCGTTATTGTATTAACATGTGAAGCGTAGACGTTTGCCTTAAAGAAATTGCCCTAAGCCATAGTGATTGAGTAGCAAGAGAACAGACAGGTAAAAAACGAAGTTGTACTATAATACGCAGAAGTTGTAAACAGTCACTGTGTGAGTGTAGTGGAGAGCCAAGCTACGTACACTCACAGGCATATACGTATACACACTCTGAACAAAACATTTTCTCAACTTAACTTGTGGTTAGATAGATAAACATGACCCACAAAGCTGTGTCCGCTTTCTGGGATACGAGTTACCCATGGGGAAAAGTTGTTAAAGACACATAGCCTGAATAAAAGGTCCCTGCTCGACTCGGGGGCTGACGTGCAGTAATAACAGTACTCCATGCCGTAATGACTGTTAAGGTCACTTAAAGGCACAAACTACATACTTTCAAATAAAACGCTTACTTCATGCTTACTGAGAGAAAAGGAAAATGTTCACAGACAATACACGTAATTCATATCATCAAATCAATTTGAAAGAATTGTTAACTAATTAATGCATATATAATACATTTCTTTATATTCGTTTTACATTTAAGTTGACTGGCTCGATGAAATTGATCATATATTGTTATGAATAATGCATGTTTCTTATCGCTTGTACATATGTACCTATACCTTTGGTATATCATATGACTTGTTGACAAGTTTTCATTTATCATATGACGTTGTGGGTTCACGCTATCTTGGCGTTGAATGTTTGGTTATATTATACGTTATTCACACATCTACTTCAACTTGTTGTGCCACTGACCCAGTTAAATATAACGAGTCTGAAACACTCGTCTGTAGACGCTACGGCATTTTAACGTAATAGAAATCCGGTACCAGAAACATGTACAACGACATCTCGTCCTGTGTCGTATAATGTTATCAACCGGTTTTTAAAGACATCTCCCCCTGAATAGTATAGCTCTTTAGGCTAATCCCATAGAATAATATCCCCTTCCCCCAAGCTGTTGCAATTATCTCCATTGTTCGTATACAAAGAGAGGTTTGAATGTAACGGTGTGTACTTGAAGGATCCCAATGCTTAACACACAACACACATGTTTCTAACTGCGTAAGTCGGCTGAAAGGAGTTATGTAGGACGCATAAATAGGTTATAAACTTCTAATGTAAATACCACATGTCACATAGACTCATTTGTGTTATTTCTGAAACAACGTCGTTCAATTTTGTGGACTGGTTATACTTCTAAAAACAAAATGAATGTAATTCCATGAGAAAGGTGTTTTGTTAAAATAACGCATTTCGTTCCTTGTGAGAACAATCCTTTTGTCGGTTTATCATCGATATGTTCTAAGTTTATTCATAACCAAGGTGATTAATCACATTTCAATACGAACGTGTAAATGTTCTTCCTGCTGACTGACTCACTGACTGACTGAGTTTGGTTTTACGCCGCTATTAGCAATATTCAAGCAACATCACGGAGGGAGACACCAGAACTGGGCTTCACACATTGTACCCATGTGGGGATTCGAACCCGGGTCTTCGGCGTGACGAGCCAACGCTTTAACCATTAGGCTACCCCACCGCCCCTCCTGCAGACTGAGACTGTTGTGGTACTCGTAACTACATTTCTAATATTGGGAATGTTTGTTTGTTTGAGTACGGCGTTAAACAACAAGCAAACTAATATTTCGAATAGGTGTACATCAAGGCGGACGTTTCACTACCTTTGTTTTTTCACGAAATTATTTGGGTGTGCATTACCTTTGCATTACCCTTAGAAAGGAGTCGGAGAGCTCAGCAATCCCATTTATTATAATGTAAAATGGAATCTGGTATGTCTTATACATACACAGTATACACGTAGAGATGATATTATCTCCGTTCGCTGATGAGAGTCGACCGTCAATGACGTAAGTCTGGTTACCGAGGCCATGGTTCTTCGCCTCTGTTTATACTGTCGCATTGCCTCAACACTAGATGAGGAAGAACTCCACAGAGCGCTGTCATAACTGTTATTGATATGTACATTGCAGAGCAAAGTGGAGTAAGCTTGGTTAGTGAGGGTTCGGGAACGGAAAAGGGGTTGGTTGTACTTTCATGCACATAGCATCTGGCACGTTCTATCCATGCATAGTTTGTGCCTTCATTCATACAGACCCAAATTACACGCTGGGTTTACCACTGCATATGGTATTGCAAAACATGCAGTCAGTAGCTGATGTGCATGCAATGAATGTGATCTTTGATACTGATGTTAGCGGCAGATGTAGATAGTGGGGAAAGGGACACCGCTCGTTGATGCATGTGTCAAGGAGCGTATGAACATGATATATCTTCCAGTTTCTTTGGCTTCTGTTGTTTGTCGCCCTCCGCTATTCCCAGATTGCGTCATAGATGTAGGCTATCGCTTAGTCCCTGAGTATATATACAGTATTAATATAACAAATATACCCATTTAAATTGAAAGGAGCCCCAGTGAGTTGGGAGATCTGGGGAAATCCAGATTTGTTTTATTTAGGGCTTTAGCATTGCAGGGAGGGCTGGGCAGTAGGGGAAATAATGTGGTTAAGGGACCGTGAGACAGACTATCATAGATGTTACAATGGGTATACTGGTAAAGTACAGCACGCTGTGTCACGTACATGCAGCGTGAATGTATCGGTGATATGTCACGGCATGAATAGTTGGGTAAATACACATGACTGTTTGCACAGTGTTCTCTGATATGTGGAAGCATACGTGTGTGTGTGTGTGTGATATTTCACTGTCCGATGGCAATGATATATCACGCCGGTGAATATGAATGTGTGACATGTCACTGCTAAGCAGCACGTGTTTGAGATGTATGGGTCAGCAGTCACGTCAATGAATCTATTACGATGTAAGGGAGTACGTATTGTTTTAGGCCGCAGTAAGCAATGTGTCATTTATTCTATATACTGAACAAACCTGAGACTGACAGTACAAGACACAATCGTAATCTTACGGATATGCTGAGACACAAACCAGATCGAACATTTTAACTACCAGATGCGAAGTATAGTCGATCATATTAGAGTTGCGTTGGTGTTGAGGGCCTGTTCTGCCAAGAATTTTCCTTGGGTGTTTTATTAATTCGGTACGTAACAGAATGATGACGCACGATTTTGTGATATGTGAACAGGCACACGTAAATGATCTATAGTGTGGCACAAAATCCGGAAAAACAACAGGAGATTTTATAGAAATAGAACAGTCACGAAGTTGTTTGCTATGCGTAACTGCACATCTCAGAAAGTTGGAATGATGTTACGCCAAGCTTACTTTTGATACTATGGTAAATGCGTTGACATGTAAAGTAAATTGACGTATAACGTCACACAAACTCTTGTAGGGAGTATCAACATGTGAAGTATATTGACGTATAACGTCACACAAACTCTTGTAGGCAGTATATACATGTGAAGTATATTGACGTTTAACGTCACACAAACTCCTGTAGGCAGTATATACATGTGACGTATATTGACGTATAACTTCACACAAACTCCTGTAGGCAGTATATACATGTGAAGTATATTGACGTATAACGTCACACAAACTCCTGTAGGCAGTATATACATGTGAAGTATATTGACGTATAACGTCACACAAACTCCTGTAGGCAGTATATACATGTGAAGTATATTGACGTATAACTTCACACAACCCCTGTGGGCAGTATATACATGTGAGGGATGTTGACGTATAACGTCACACAAACTCCTGTAGGCAGTATATACATGTGACGTATATTGACGTATAACTTCACACAAACTCCTGTAGGCAGTATCAACATGTGAAGTATATTGACGTATAACTTCACACAAACTCCTGTAGGCAGTATCAACATGTGAAGTATATTGACGTATAACGTCACACGGGGACACGAAGCTATAGACACAGATAGTCCGATCTATCAGATTTCGGATCTTACTACAAACGAGAGTTGTATATCTAGTGACTCATACAAAATGCGTCGACCATGATTCACATATGCTTTGATTTTCATAACTAACGTGTTGGCCCAGACGGTCCTCTATAAGTCAAGTTGAATGTTGTTTACATTAACTCAACATAAAAATTCTTTTACTCTTTAATACTGTTCGATAGACACTCCCTCTTGTGTATATTATCATACACCGTGAATAATGACAAATACGATGTATAAAATTGTAAGAAAACGAGTCATATAATAGTGCTTTTCCGCAGCGGATATAAATACACGAGTTCCTTCAACGATGACTGAAGCCTTTCATTCAGTTTCTCCCAGGAATGCAGTCTTCCCCAATCCCATACAACCAGGAAGTGTTAGTGTGGAAATAAATCTGGACTCAATCTAAAGCATGGCTGATAAAAGGACCTATAAAAACTAGGCTCTACATAGCTTCTCGGTCTATCAACTTGCCGGAGTCATGGGGTTCCATTCATAAGCGTGTATGAATCATTCCAAATATTGATTGTGTACACTAGACCAGGCCAACGTGTCCATATCGGGACCAGTGACGAGTGGGCAGCGTCTTACGTTATCACGCCCATGTCCCTGAAGTCTCAGCCTTTAATGTCGCCTGCATCTTTTGTGATTTGAATACTAGTATATAAAATTATTTACATAAAATGACCCTCATCTGTACCACAATGTAATAACATGAAGTTTAATTCGTGGTTTTGTGGTTATTCTATATCTACACGTGGTTGGTTTGTTGTCTAACGCCGCACTGTTCCATCTATATAGTGGCGGTCTGTAAATAATCGAGTCTGGAACACACAATCCAGTGATCAACCTGTGGCTGCAACATTGGTAGACCAGGGGCGTAGCTACCATTATAAAAAATGCCCGGGCTTACACATGATTTTTGCTAAAGATCACCATGGAAGTCGGGCAAGACTTCAATATATCCAAATATAAAGCTTTGCAACCTCTCGGGCTTTCACGAAAAGAATGGCATACTACGCGCCTGTAGACTGATATGATATTTTGGTATAATTCATTTACAATTAATGCGACATTTACAGCAAATCCAAGACATGATGTAGCCGGTTGAAGTGAGGTGAGGTGAAATTAGGTTTAACGTCGTGCTTGAGAATATTTCGCTCATATGACGAGATGTAGCCGGGTAGCTGTCTGGGTTGCCTGTAACGCCGAATTAAGCCATGCGATCATTTTTGAACATAGCTCAAATGTATTAGTCATATTCTGGCCTTCCCCCTGTCGTATTGCTGAAATATCGTTAAAAGCCGTGTACAACAAACTCACTCACTCACTCACTCACATATAGACGTAAAACGATGTAATACTTATAATCTGTTAAGGTACAGCTTGATTTGTTTCTTGTTTGTAAGTCCGCATGACAAGAGGGAAGGCTGCATAATTGCATTGTCAACCTTCCCTTCATGATGAGAAATAGTCCAGCAGGTCCCGCGTTGCGTCTTTCACAACTTCGATGTACAACTTCCCTCTATTTTACGAAGATTTCAATCGTGTCATACAACTCCTGCTCAAACGTTTATTAAGTGAATGAGTGAATGTGCTTTTACGCCACTTTTATCAATATCACAGTTATATAATAACAGGGGACACAATTAACTGTTTTCAGCCATTGTATCCATGGTGGGACTCGAACACGGATGCTTCAACCACTAGCCTCCAGTGGCGGTTGAAGCAGCAGCAGTATGGGTAGTAGTAGTAGTAATAGTAGTCTGTCTCACAGTCCCTGAACCATATTATTTTCCCCAATGCTTAGCCCTCCCTGCAATGCTAAAGCTCTAAATAAAGCAAGTCTAGATTTCCTCAGGTTCAGGCTGGTCTCAATGGGGCTCCTTTTCAATTTAAATGGGTTTATTGGCCAAATTTATATGTATTCAGGGACTAAACGTTAGTCTATAGTAATAGCTGTAGTTGTTGTTGTAGTAGTAGCAGAAGAAGAAGCTGAAGTAGATTCAGCAGCAGCAATAGACGTAACAACAGTGGCAGTAACAGCATTACTAGTAGCAGCATAAAGGAACGTGATGACATTGTACATCTAAAAAAGATAAATGTACAAAGAGATGCCCTCATGTACACTACATAACACTATATCCCTTGGGATTAACCCTCGCCATTCCGTGTCAGCACCGCTGTAAGTACAGACACTTTGTGTTTGACCCCCAAATCCCTGCTTTAACCCTTAACCTTATAATCAACTGTTAGTATTGTATGGGCTTCGTGTAACGTGTGATGATTATATATGACACATTAACCCCCACAACTAACCCCTGTGTTAAATGACCCGACCTGACCCTTCTCCGCCCCAGCTCGACTCCATTAGTATCAGAGCCTAAATCACGAAAACGTCCTTTTGTCCAAAGACACAATATTGCAGCCGCCCGTATTTCACGTAACAGTAAACACGCCCCATCAATACGAAGCAAAGGACATATGTGATTTATCGCCTTCTACTCGGTGGTTTATGTTAAGGATATCCACCTAAAATTAACCTTATAACCGCGTTAAATTTCGAAGACTTGGTTTAATTGCAACCCTCTCTGAATGTCTCTCATGTATGCTGATGATACCATCTGACCTCAACCCAAAGGGTCAGTGTGACTACCATCAGGCCATGTCAGGCCATTATTCGCGCACATCTGACGCAATTAACAATACATATCCGGTCCAGATAGGTTGACAGGTCGTCAGGTTGCAGACAGTGTTGTGTTTTAATGACGTGGTACTATAAACTGAGTTTAAAGAACTCGATCTAGGAAAACACCCTCTTGGTAACCTTACTTGGTATATACCTTTAACGGATACGATCTTGGGTGGTTCAAAGGATGTTATTACCACTACTTAACAACTAGAGGGGAAATGATAAGTTCTTCAGCAAAGGTATCACTATCCGTGGAGGTATCCCCCTCTGAGTACGTAATAGACGGTTGTTGACCGATGTGATAAGTAGCCAAGCCATATCATGATGGAGGGCACATCATTGCACACATGTTCGGAGTCAAACTTTTGACGTGGAAGACCACTGGGGGCCCTATCGGGAGATCAGGTCACCCGCCTGCCCCTCTAGAGCTGAAAGGATACCCTCATTACCCTGGCAACCAATTTAGTTCTTCTTAAGCTTAACTCATGACATTTCACACATTGGCATAATATTCTTCATTATATTGCCTCTGCCTCTAAAGAACATTTTTGTCAAATATTCCAGACTGATTATTTTCTGAAATTTGTGAATGAAGTTAATAATCTTTTTATGTGAGTGAAAACCTGTATATCAGATTGGGATGATTACTGGGTGCATTTTAAATCAAGTTCCCTGACGAATCGGCGAGGAGCATAGTCTGTCTGTTGTAAAACTTCATACAGTGCCTTTGATTTCACCCTGAAACAACTACATCACAGAAAACAAATACCAAAATATGAACTCTAACACACCCACACCTCACACCACACACCACACACCCCTTCCAAATACACACACACGCACAAGAATATAATAGTTAACAGGAATGGGGATAGATATTAACATTAAGCAGAAATGGACATTTAGCTTATTTTTTTATGTCCTGTCATTAAATGACGAAATAATATAAAAAAAACATTTCTACATAGATTCAAAGTAGGTTTATGCAACGTGTGCCAACGTATGCATACGTTTTAAGTTGTTCGACACATGACAACCAATATAATCAGCAGATGGGTATGTTTGTTTTACGGATGTGAACAGACTCCATGGACCATTTTGGTAACCCCTTCGGGAACTCCGCCTGATCCTAGAGGTCAAGAAGTGCGTTATGTCAGCAGAAAGGCTGCCAGTTTACTTCATAGACGTATGGCTGTAACACCAGAATAGGTATGCAGCAACATGCGTCCTTCGTGAACTCTCGACATTGCACTTTTGTGGGTCTAGAGATGATTAGTGAATGTTGATACCTGAGGTGTGAGTCCTTTTCCCCTGCTGGGAGCTTTGGGTTCGCACCCGGATGTTGGAGAAGAAACGGAAGTGCACTGTTAAAATACCGGACGAGTTACGTGCGACTTTCATGCTTTATCAATTGGGTATTCTAAACAGTTTATTTCAGAATGGCAAAAACGTGTGAACAATACGGGGTTATATCTAATTCTGACGAGCAGGAATTTATAAATACTGAAAGTGAGAAACAAAAGCCAGACGGAGAGGTAAGAATGTTGGTACCACACATTACAATCATCTGTGAAACCTGCCAATTAGCCGCTATTCTGATACCAAGATGCGTTAAATATATTTTCTATTTACAGCAAGGAAACTCTGACAAACAAATAAACATTAGAGACAATATTGTTTACATCTTTCCTATAATTACAGGTGTCGGTGCGTGAAGAAGGCGTTGAACCAAACAACACGACTCCAACCCCGGCTTTAAATAGCACAAACTACGTTCACAAGGGCGACGGAGGAATAGACAATATCCTGTGTGAATACTACAGCCCCTGGTCTAGATGGTCCACGTGCAACCGAAAATGTGAACAAACCCGTGTGCGACGATGCCGACGGCAGCAACAGTGCGGTAAGACGTGGCTGAAAGAAAAGAGAATATGCAAACGACGTCGCGGAGGCTGTTCCGTTTTGTCGTATCAAGTCTACGGTTTCCGACGTCGAAATCGCTACATTGAACAGCTACTGTACGACCTCCTCTACGACTCTTGGACGGAGTGGGGGGCGTGTTCACGCACGTGCAAGCAGAGGCGCACGCGCAAGTGTGCCGTGCACAGCGTTTGCAGTAAGAGTTATATCCAGGAAGAAAGACGTTGCAGCGCTGCAGGCAGTCGTTGTGAAAGACGTTATTTTATCAAGTCGACAGTAGCTGACGCAAACAGTGAAAATACAACGACAGTTGCGCCTGTTTCAAAACCGAAATCCAAAGTGTCTCGACCTTCACTGAAGAAAAAGAAGAAAAGTAAGTGTAATATATACTTCATTAAAATGCAAAACTTCAAAAGAAACGCAACGTCCCAAATAACACACCTTTAATCATCAACGTAACGTGAGGCCAGCGTTCAAAATAAGCGCTTGCCAGTTGCCCGTGACATGTAAAATATGTGTGAAAACAATTCTTTATTTAATAATAATAATAATAATAATAATGTAGTTTTGTATAGCGCTAGATTCCATAAAAACATATGCTCAAAGCGCAACACGGAATAGAATAAAATACATTATACAAGACTGGATATTAGAGGGAAAATATCAACACTAGTGAGTTTGTGTACAGATTGGGATTAGAATCGTAGGCCTCTTGTTGACGTCTTCATGGAAAGACCAAGATTAATTGTATATCAAAAACTGTGTCATTTATACACTAAAGGCTGGAGATGCTAGAACATTGCTCGATACTGAGGGAAAGTTGAAGACATCCCAATAGAGTATTGAGGATAATTTCCGTCGCTCGAGATCTTTATGGGTACATCTAAAACTGAAATAGATGAGGTTGCCCCTTAGTCTGATTTATTTCTTGCTCATGGGGGTAAATCATTAAAGTGTAATTAGCTATCTGACAATTATGGAACGATATCATTATATTAACAATGTGCCGTATATATATAAATTTCAAATATCAAACGTCAATACCAGATAATACTCAGTGTCGATTATCAGCCGAAAGAAGCAATGCAGTTTATTGGTTTTCGTCACTAAATTATATGAGCAACGCCCTTCTTATTTTGAGCGATATCCAGTGTTATTCCTCATGTTTGAGACGACTTTTTTTCAAATGATTACGAAAATTGTGAACGGTTGCCAACATGTAAACGAGTTGGTGATTAAAGTATGCGCTATATCACTGAGAATCCAACGCAATGTGCACTCTTAGCGTGTCAAAAACTTGAAAGCTGCCAATAGCTGAAAGTAAGAGAAACGAAGTTAGATCCAAGGGTACTTTTCTTGAGTGAGTGGGTGAGTGAGTTTAGTTTTACGCCGCACTCAGCAATATTCCAGCTATATAGCGGCGGTCTGTAAATATTCGAGTCTGGACCAGACAATCCAGTGATCAACAGGATGAGCATCAATAGACGCAATTGGGAACCGATGACATCAGCGAGCCTGACCACCCGTCCCGTTAGTCGCCTCTTACGACAATCATGGGTTACTGAAGATCAATTCTAACCCGGATCTTCACGGGTCGTACTTTTCTTGAAGATTCCCCAGCTCTAATGGAAAATTCTGATGTTTGATGTACTCCCCAAGCATAGCACTCGTAACAATCAGGTCTAAAAGTTAATAATTACTTCCTATTTATTTTATTTTTATTTTCATTTCATAGCGGTTTAATAATTTGTGTAAAGAATGCATCGGGAGAGTCGGTTAATGTTAAACGTTGATAATGTCAGTTACTTGGATGTTGGTCGATGTGAATATGGAATAACATAACGGAAAATACACATTCCAACCTAATCCGTTCTGAATGTTAAGCATTTCTTTGATCCGAATAATTATGGAGGGAAAGTCACAAATCGTTAGCTAACGACATAAACATTAGATCTTTAAGCTAAAAAATCAATCTTTAATCTCCATAGAGTAAAGTATTAATCTCATTTCTTAATTACTTTCTTCTTGTCTGCTATTTCAAATATAGCACTTGTAAGCCCTCACGGTTAGATGGCATCCTATTCCCTAAACGATTTTATGTTCGAATTGAAAACAAACTGTCTGCATCTAGATCTCAAGTCAGACATGGTTCATGCGCCGACTTCCAAGGCTTTCAAGTTCTACTTTCCAAACGTTAGCGATCATGGCGTCACACATGCAAATTGTTATGAAAACGTTTGGCAGCGTAATTGGAGAAAGTTAAAACATCCCTTTTTCACTGTATTTCAACTACGGCAACTCTTAAATACACATGATACTGGAATCTGTAGAATAAATATACAGCATCTTTCCAAAATACCGTTCATATTTCCTGTTTCCCCCTCCAGCATTATTTAGACTAGCGGTGACGTATCTGATGTAAGGCAAAATCTTGAATACGTTTTTCCTGACAAGTGGAATATAAGTGATGTGGTGGTAGAGAAGGATATTAAGAAGTCAAACGTTCAGTTTTCATAATCCTGGCCAATGTTTGTTCTAAGACCTAAAGCTTAAAAGTACATGCGTGTGCGTGTGCGTGCGTGCGCGTGTGTATGTATGCATGTATGTAAGTGTACGCTTTTATGTGCGTACGTGCGTGCACGCGTGCGTGTGTATGTCTGAAAATAATAAGTTAAATGTTCATTACTCAGTTACTACGATACATTTATATTCCTCCCACTAAAAAGACCCCATAACTATAGAGACGTCTATGTAATCATCAGTTTATTACCAGCGGTATATTTGTGTTATTCTTCAGACATATAACCTCCCATCTAGTGGTTCATCTGGAACCAGCATTGCTCTGTACTTGAACTATTCATCAGTTTAATGTTAATGTAAGATATGGTGTACTTCAAAACGGGGATCAAGTTTGTCAAAGAGATCCTGAGTTGACATATAAGTAATTATTATCATTGCCGTGCGTGTTCTTTAAATACATTTCTTCATAGAATAGTGCATTTACGAGTCACTGAATATTTTTTTACAAATCTTAGTCCCTTATATCTACGTATCCTATTTTCTTGGGGCGGTGTGGTAGCCTAGCGGTTAAAGCGTTCGCTCGTCACGCTGAAGACCCGGGTTCGATTCCCCACATGGGTACAATGTGTGAAGCTCATTTCTGGTGTCCCCCGCCGTGATATTGCTGGAATATTGCTAAAAGCGGCGTAAAACCAAACTCACTCACTCACTCCTATTTTCTTGTTTCCTATATTGTCTTCAATTAATTAAGTATGTACAATCAATATAACCATACTCTTATAAATACGCGGAATTAATTTCGAATTTACAGACTTGTATGTATGGTTTATACGGTTTTTTTGTGAACGAACTGGAAACACATTACAGCCACCATACACAACACAACAGGGTGTGAAGTATGACAGATGTTATGACTGCCAGCGATTTTGACGGACGATAAGTATAACTAAGATAATTTCATTTAGGGGTCAGCAGTTCGTTACACGCCATGATCATTCACTGGACGAGGCATATTATGTGTGTCGCCCAGTGGGGAATTCAGGGAGTCTGTTTCACTCCTCCTGCAGCGCCTTGCCAAGTTCATCCTACGACTTTGACCCACACTTCTTTCCAGCATGTCCTAGACGTGTTCAAACGGGTAATGATCTGATCTAATTGAATGAGATGTTGGAAATGAGCATTTAACGATTCCTGAAAGACGACACACACGCTCTTTAAACGGGACATCCAAGGCTGTTCCAAAAGTAATGTCCAGTAACCTTCACTTCACAACATGGAGTGGGGTTCATGGTGATGCTACTCCACACCATAACTGATCCACCACCAAATGTCTACAATCTTCAGGTCGACACAGGCTTGGCTTTCATTCAGTCGAAGCCTGACACACCAGTGTCCACCATAACTTCCGTTGTCACTATGTCGATTTGGAAGGGCGACAGCCCGCTGCCTTCAAGAATGGAGATGAGATATAGATATAGATAATTTCTAACATTCTGAGCCGTAAAATGTACTCCACTACCCTGATGAACGTTTTAAGCTATTTGATTCGCCGCTTGAACTAGATTACGTAGAAACTGGTATCGTATCAAGTGAACCTGTACTCTTGTCGTTGTCATATTGGGTGTTTTAGTAACTGTTTCACAGCCTGCAAATGTCAGACTGAGAACAGTTTCCTCACCAACACACACCCCGCGATTTGCAGTTCGTATACAGGCATCGAAAAATATCAAGTAAATAACAACTTATGATACAACAGATTCAATAAGACTCACAGAAATATTTTTCTTTCTGCTTTTTTTCTTTATATATTATCATAAGCATATGATTATGTTGGGTAATTTAGGTATTTCTACCACAAGATATTGTCTTTTGTTATGAATGTCTGTTAATAATTCCAATGCTTTCCTTCAGATGCTTGTGGTAAGAGGCAACTAATGTGATCGGGTGGTCAGAGTCGCTGACTTAGTTAACACATGCTGTTGATCACTGGATAATTTGATCCAGGCTCAATTATTTACCGCCGCCATATAGCTGGAATATTGCCAACCAACCAACCTAATTCCAACCTAAAATCTAACAGATATCATGAAACACTCAATGATACTTCAACTTCCTCGTAATTGATTCTGAAACATATCATCTAACTAGGAGATACGAATTTGAACAAGGTATGGCTTTCATCTTTAAAATCTACAGAATAATCACTACGATTAAAACAAATAGTGGGAAGCTCTAGGTAGGTACTCCCGGCAGCCTGACGTACATCAGCAACTACAGGCTGAGATGTAGATCTAAATTAGTGAAGAGAGTGACCCCCGGCGATACACCAGCGCGATAAACTAATAGTATTAAAACACGCTATCGGCACGAAAATACGGTCCTTCAATTCTGTTACAGCCCACAAAGTGGTAAACCTGCACATCCTCTATCAAGTTTCAGTGTTTTATTTCTAATCTGCACCAATGAGCATAAACGGTTTATCAGCCTCTAGACAGGCACCTATCTCGAAGAGTCATCACTTACAACGTGTTTCCTGGCGGGGGGTTCCGCAGGGTGGTCTTCTATCACCACCATGCTTCCTGGACATGTCGACCATAACAACTATATAAAGTAAGGCAAATCTTCACCCCTAACGAAACGATCTCTCTCCCATGCGCCTAAAGATTATATGCGGGAGATATGTAAGATCGTGGGGTCATTTCGGTGTAACATAATGAGGTTCACAAGCTGTGAATTTGACATCTCGTATCGAGAGTTCATGTTTGATGGTACTTTTTACTTGTGTTATCGTCAACGACATGCGATACGGTCTCTGAAATACTGACGGTGAGTACTGCCATCTCAATGGGGATG